CCTATATAAGCAACCAAACTCACAGAGGTTTTGAGGGCTTCTTTAAGATAGCCAAGAGCAAAGAGGGAAGCAGGTCCTTTGGACTCCATGGGAGTCTGCTGAGAACCTCCTAGAAGAGCTGTGAGCAGGTCAAGGGTTGTGACACTGAGCTGGTAACAATGAAGACCTAGGGAAATGGCAGCAAGCAGAGCAGAGGCAAGAGGCAAAGGAACGGGGTAGTAGCAGTGAGAGTGGTCAGACGCACAAGACCAACAGACAGCAGCACTGGGCCCAGCTGGCCTACCGAGAAGATGGCAGCAGTAGGTGACTTGGGTCCATAGAGTAGAATTGGGCACCTCTGGGCAGGAGGTAACCAACAGAGCAGAGGCTTGCCCATGAAATAGTTTTGCCTCAAGAGGTGCCTAACCCTGGCATTGGCCCAGGATTGTCCTAATCTGTTGGTTGCGACCTGGACCAGCAAGCACAGGGGGACAGACCCAAGCAAGAAAAGCCATAGAGAGAGAGAATGAACACAGCTGTGCCATACCCAATCTGACCTGACAGTACATCTGCTGAGAGAGACACCTGCTGACACTTGGTCCATGATGTCCCTGCCCAGTGACACAGAAATGGGCATGGATAATTTGGGAAGGGTGAGCAGGTCCCCTTTTAGACATAATTAATAGGTTCCTTCCCTACAATGCTAAATGGGGTACTCATAGGGGTCAAGTGGACTGGTTTACCTCAAAGCTGTTCGTCATTTACTTTTTGCTTTCTATAAATAATCTGTTCTTATTTACTGTTTACCTTCTATAGAAGATAATAATGGCTTTCAGTTGTCAAAACTGTGTAAATGTCTTGTGTGTACAACTCAATTGGATCCAATAATAGAGTCCTCATCCTAACAGTCTTCTTGCTGCTTATAATTTTGAGGCAACTGGCATGTGTTTACGCACACAGTTCAACAATGTGCAGGCTCATCTCAGACATCAACTGTTCATAAATTACTTTCCACAATAAGAACTCTTGAAAATACCTTTTTTTCCAGTTGTAAAGGATTAACTCAGCAAGCCTGAGTTGCTCAGGTTCTGCACATTACAAGGAAAGACCTGTCTTCAGGAGGACTGACCCTTCAACAGCTCCTGGAAGATAATCTCTGAGCCCTTGGAATATCCTCCCTAATAAAAGTATTTTTGTCCTGAAGCTTTGGGCCACCTCTCCCTCAGTTTGACATCTGTGGTTTGAATAGTTGAGGTCAGTCACATGGGTGCTGCATGCCTAAGTAACTGACCCTAGATACCAAGGCTTGGGTGAGTTTCCCTGGTTGAGAACGCTTCTTGTGTGTTGTCACGCATCCTTGCTGGGAGAATTAAGTACTGTCCATGTGACTCCACTGGGAGAGGACAATTGGAAACTTGTATCTGGTTTTTCCAGTACTCCAACCTATGCACCTCTTCCCTTTGCTGATTTTAATCTGTATCCTTTCTGTCTTATAAACCCTATCTATGAGTATACCTGCTTTTCTGGGTCCTATAAGTCTTTCTAGAGAATCATTGTCTTGGGGACCTGTACCAGTATAATGACTTCTTTGCCCTAAAATACCCTAAGTAAATACACTATAAGAAGTGATATGTCAACAATACAATTTCAGGCAAAGAAACAATTACCATACTCAACAGAACAGACTGTCATATGGAATAACGCAAATTGCACTCCAAATTTGAATGAACCCAAAATGTCCTGCTTTGGGTACATGCACCACATGAGTGGGATGAAGAAGAAACATCTGAGATGCTTCCATCTATATGTTAGCATCATTTCCATGTGTGTAGCCTTTCACAGGCCATAAAGATGATCTTCTGTGTTATAACTTTAAGTGCAGTTTGAGTGCTAGATAACAATAAACCCTAGAAAATTTGAAATTTTGGTGAAGAAAACGGTGCAGAAAGAAGAATGCACTTCCACAGAATGACTTCCTCAGGCCCCTCCTCTGCCAAGCAACACTCTGCCTTTGGCAAGTACAATAAGCCTTCATGGTGGTGCATGGTACATACAATATGTTTACATTTGCTTTCTGTGTATTACTTTTATAAGCTTTTTTTCACTGTTCAATTTAAGTATTTCTTTTTATGAAAATTACTTGAATATCTTGTGTTAGGAAGGCACAGATCATAATTTGTCCCATTAAAATTAATTGATTTTTCTTCTTTCCTATTTAAAAGCTTTTAAACTGTGTCAGGATTTTCTGGAACAAATTAAAGCCATTAGCAAGGGGTAAGTGTATTTAGAAAACCTACAATGAAAGAGCCAAATGAAGAAGAACAGTCCTTGTCATTGTGATTTGTTCCTTTAGTAATGACAAGCTAGAATGCTAAGGAATCAGATAACAAAGATTCCTAACTATGTAGGAAACTTTAAAGAAGATTGGCTGTAAGGAGATTTAAAACAAACAAACAAAAGAGTGGAGTAAGTAACAACAGCAGCAGAGGCACAGGGGAGAAAGCCTGGCCCTGGGAGTAAGGCAGTCAAATTGTGGCTCCACAACTTACTAGTTGTGTGTCTCTGAGTAAGTCACTTAACCTCTACCAACCTCAGTCTGATCCATAAAACATGTACAACAATCCTTGATCTGCTTATCTGGCAAAATTATTGTAGAGATAATACATGTGAAACTGCTCCATAAAAATTAAATAAATGTAAAATTCTGGCATTATAAAAATTCAGATATGAAGATATCTTTTCAGATGCTAGATCCAAAAAAATTTAAATTCTAATATATAACAGTGGTGTTCTTTCCACGGGTTGTGAATGCCTTCTACCCTGATAACAGGTTAAGACAAGATACAGGAATATAAGAGTTGAAAAGCAACACCCTCAAAAAAGAGCCTGAGGAGGAGGACAGTTTGGTTTCAGTCAGTGATATGAAAGATGCCTTCTCTCCATCAGTCTTGACTGAACACCAACAACTAAACCACCTTGAGTGAAGGACTATTCAGAATTTCAGAAGCTATGATATTTAACGTGACTGGCTGTTCTAGTTACCTAGTGCTGCTCTGACAAGAATATACCACAAACAGGATGGAACAAACAGGAGTTTATTTTCTCACAATTTGGAGAGAAGTTCAAAGTGCCAGGCTCTAGGGGCTGCATGAAAGCCCCTCGACCTTGGGCTTCAGCTCTGCCTCTTGATCCCGGCCCACTGAAGCTAGAGGCATCTCTTCACTCAGGCTGCTGAGGCTAACAAGCACACGTTCAACAAACAAATTAGCGAAGTCCTGATGTTACCAAACCACACGGCAGGCCATTAATTCAAGTCCATTCTAAGTCCCAAGGTCAGCAGAGCATGGCAGGCTGCTGAACAACGACACGGCTACATGAAGAGTCCAAGCATGCCATATGCTAGAGACCATTCCCCAAGGCTTCTGCTTACATACAGGAAGCAGACCACATTCCCTATGGCAGCTACTCAGCTGCTCACAGTAGATTCCAGCATGGAGTTGATTACCAGTCTCATCATGAGGAATACTACATCCAGCTGCCCAGGCACTCAACCAGGCCCAGCCAAGCTGACACACAAATTTAACTACCACACTGGCCTACAACAAAACTGTACAATGGTAAAGTTTGGCTTCTGTATTCTTCACACACTAGGTCAACTCCCCTTGGATCTCTCAAACATATCACTACTAGTGGAGGAGGTAATTTCTCTTTTGGTTGCAGTTCCAAATAGGAATCCATTGGCACAAACCCTTTAGTGATTGCCTGAATGCATTGTCTGTCTACATGTCCACACTTAATACTCATAAATGGTAACAGGAGTTAATTACCGTAAGAGGAAGAACAGATGCACAAGTGTCATCAGGAAATGGGATCTGTGAGTATGTAAAAAGAGAACACAAGGTAAACCAGACTCAGTCTATGAAATTTATAGTAATTGCCAAGAAACAAGTTCTATTTCTGCCTATTTTGTGCCTTTATTGATTTGTTTGTGCTGCCCTGAATATTTATCCTCTCTGTCAGCTACTCCTTCAATATTCAATCCTTTTGTTATTTAGGAAATAAAACAAAGAAGCTCCTTTAGCATTAATCTCATGTGATATTACAGTTTATAAGCAACTGTTAGAGGTTTTTGCAATCCAAGTATCTCTGGTACCTTAGGTAAAGGCATATTGATTTATCTAGTGCCTGCTGTTAACGCTTGATGTCTGGCGATGGAGGCTGACCTGGTCTATACAGGGAAGCTGTTTTCATGATCAGTGTAATTATCATCAGGTTGCACAGTGTGCATGAGGTACTGATACTTACATTCTCACATCTAAGACCATAAATACACCTTAGAGTGATGATTCTGGACTTGAATTAACACACTAAGAAGTTACAGGGTTAGCACCTGTCCTAAAACAGATGAATGGGACCATGCATTAGTGTTCTGGGCCCTACAAGTACTGTAATATACCAGTAGAAAGAAGGCAAGCTTTTGCTCTTGACACCAACGTCTCTCCCTGCTTCTG